CATCTGCAAATACTATCATTAATCACTTTTACTTACCATATATTCATCATATAACACATATATCATTTCACAACAGAACACACATCATATCATATCAATTGATTTATTTACTCTATTTAAAGTCTATGTATTAGCCCATGTATACTTTTGAGAACTTAAGGTATGTGAGTATATTGAGGTTGTGCACCACTATGCTGTCACCACAGCTCGTATAAATGTCCCGAAGTACTTATCCAGAGGTTATAAAGAACTACGGAAACTGTCCATAGGTCCCGAAGAACCTAGGTGAACTGTCCATATGTTCCTTAGAACATAGGTATATTGTCCATATGTCTCGAAAGACATAGGTATACTGTCCATATGTTCCGTAGAACATAGGTAAACCCTCAACCCTTAGCATGCCAACTATACTACTAGCTCTCATATCACATAACATGGGCATTATCATTTATAACAGTTCATATGTTCACGTCACTTATTCATATCATTTTTCTTCTAATCACATATTTCTTCTTTTCTGTCACATATCACATGTACGTGTAATCATTGATCTTATAATCACATGTTCCTTCTCTTTTGTCACATACCACATGTATGTGTGCACATATATCTCATATCACATAACATATATCACATAGGTTCATATCATGTAACATACATATCACATGTATCACAAGTGCATGCATTCACGTAGATCGTTTCATATGGCTTATACCATTTCTCATTTTTTCATGTAAACTTGCATGTCATATCATGTAACATATAACACATAATCATATAGGTTCACGGTTTTATCACCTATCATGTTATTTCACATATACACTTTTATATCACATAAACTCATTTCTTTTATATCATTCACCTCATATAACTTATTGTCACATAATCTCATATCACATATACTATATTCACATGGTTCATGTAACATTTTCATGTAGTCATTTAGATCATTGTCTTATAACACATATCCCATAATCACACAAATCATCACATCGATCACCAATCAAATAATATTTTAGGAGTTACTTCTTACCATAGTAACTCCATCACTGGCTCATCGCAAGGCAATGTTTATTCAATACTATAAGTACAAATTAAATTGCACTCACCTTAGCCTTGCTTTGATTCAATCCTAATTCTTTGATTGTTTCGGAACTTGTTTAGGCTCAATATCTACATATACATAATTTCGAATGATTATCAGAAGTCTAAACCTTATAACTTATGTTAACAACTTAAGCTAGTTTAATGAATCAACATTCCATTTTTTTCTTTAGGGGGAATCAATACCCCCCAGGGGGTATCTGTCCCTCTACGTAATCTGTAATTTTTGTTCAAGCCTAGAAATCACTGTTCATTGCATGAAAATTCACTATTTCCACTTCAATTCTTCATGTTTCATTCACTTTTCTATTCTTAACTCAAATATACACACTTAAACTAATTTATATCCATTTATTTCATCTCAAACCTCAAAATTCTATTCTCCATATAGAAATCAATAATCATACCAAATTTTCCATGTTATCCAAACTTAATTCTAACACTTCTTACTTCTTATTCTCATAGATGACAAGTCAAATTCATCCTCCAAATTCATTTAAACCTTCTTATTCAAAATTTCACATAAAAACCCATTTCCTTTAATATTTCAGAACTCCTTTATCTTTTGATTTTAAGATAACTTAAGCTTAGTTATCATCTAATTATCAAAATCCAGCCTTTAAATCAACAAACAATCAAGAAATTAAAAAAACCCACCTTTGCCTTGAGCTTTCACGGAGAGGGAGGAAGGAAGAAGAAGATAACTATGGAAGCTTATTATTCCTCTTCACTTCCACGTGGGTTTCCTTATCTTATAAGGAAATAAAAATCTTTCTTGTCAAATGACTATTTTGCCATTTAATTCCTTTGATAATTACTAACAACTTTCAGGAAATATCTCCACATAAATCATTGAATTATTGAACTATTCTACTTTTATCCTCAAATTCTGAAATTCTACAACCCGATATTGAGGATGTTACACCTACAATGTCACTCACTTCTCGATGCAATGACTAGTCAGATGTATATCTCTAGCTATACTAAATGTCTTATTAAAATCGAGAAAACATCAATTAAATTAATAAACAAAATTAATTATAAACATGAAATTCATAATAGAAGTTAAGCATAATCATCCAAGTTTAACAATCGCCATAAAAGGTTAAGAGTATTTCAACAAAGCAAATATAAAATCTTCCACTCAGATAAATCTCACGGTTACTTTATTGAAGCTAAAGTCGATTTTCAATCACCACCCTCTTAGGTGTAGTTTGATCCCATGTACAGCTGTTGCTCTTCCCCGAGTTGCAAAGCTGCAATGGCCGATGGGCGAAGCTGAAGAGTTAAAAAGAAGACTACAATTCCAAAAAAAAAAAAACAATCACATATATTATTCAATTCCAGCTTGCTCCTCTTTGTAATCTTCAGAGGTCAACTAAACCTCTAATGAGATTTTCTCTATTTTCTTCATTTTCATATTTTCTCATAACAACTTTGCACAACTGGATTACAACTCATTATTGCGTCGTTGATTGACATCAATGACATTAGATGCAAAGTAAATTCTACCTCTCGTTGCTTGCAACAATATCTGACTGTTAAAAATATACAACATAAATATAACTCATAACAAAATAATGCCACAACAAATATAACCTCGTTAAATCAATATTTACCAAGTCAATGATTAGTGTGTGCCATGATGTGTATAATGTAATTTACCTAAAAATGTTTGAAATATGATCATAAAATATTTAAGTGCAAATAAAAACCTAAAAAACTTATAGAATAATTCTTTTGGAGAGTTATCACATGATATATAACTATGTCATTTATATTAGGCAATTATTGAATTACACTTAACTTACCGTGTGATATGTAAATTTACGTTCATGAGTATGTTCTGAGCTAGTTATAGACCTAGATAAAATGTAGAAACTTATGAAAAATAAGTTTGTTTCTTAGTATTTTTCATTAATTAATTTTCAAAAAGTAAGTCTTTTAAAGATTACAGTCTAGAAATTTACTTCTGCTCAGATTTTTAACTATAAAATACTTTAAAGTTTAAATTAGAGATAAGGTTAATCTAAATTAACTAACTGTTATCTAGAAATAACAAATCCAAACTAACTAAGCATATCTACAACTTACACTCCCCTCAAGAAGGTAAATATACACTATATAATCCCAGCTTGCACTTAAAATCATCAAAACTTGCTCTTGACGGTACTTTGGTAATAACGACTAATTGTTCATTGAAAGAAACATAGGATAGATATGCCACTCCACCATTAACCTTCTCTAAAATAAAATGTTTATCAATCTTTACATGCTTAGCATGATTATAATGAACTAGATTTCTACGAATCATGATGGTAAATTCACTAGTAGAAAAAACCCCTTTAATGACGCGCATTGCGTGTCATATATGAGTGCGGATGACACATATTTTCCTGTCGTTGAAGCCACCGACATGAATTTCAAATGACGCGCAACTGTGTGTCATAAATCTATGACGTACATTTATGACACACATTTATGACGCTCATTTATGACGTTCATTGAGCGTCATTGAAGCCCCTGTCATAAATAAAGATGACACACATTTGTGTGTCATAAATTAATGACACGCTTGTATGACTTACATTGCGTGTCATTGAAGCCCCCGTCATAAATGGAGATGACACACATTCGTCTGTCGTGATTGTATTTCGTATATATATATATATATATATATATATTGTAGATTGACAAATAATCAAACTAAATCACATTTAATGCCTCATAAAACTAAATATATATATCATATTATATATATGCAATCCATTTGCATACAATATATACACATGACACCCATGAAAAATGTTACCACTGGCACTGTAATATTGCAAACATAAATAGCCAGTCATTACAATTATAGAGTGATTTCGTTGGATGTAATCAAATAATGCACTTTGTTTCCACATACTTAGAGCTTTGAGGATCTGGATAAAAGCCACATATATGTGCAAATATGCAGTGTTGCCAAACCTGTATTGACAACAAAAAAAATGAGGATGCTTAGAATATGCAAAAACAATATCAACAAAAGGTAAGCAAAATAAAACAAAGATGTCAAAATTTTGCACAGCCAGTACATAATAAGCTCAATATCGTATAAGCAATTTGCAGCCTATAACATAAACCTTTTGAAAACTCAACAGCTTAAATGCATTTAAAATTTGATTTTCATTAAAAGTATAAGAAAAACAAATTAGTGCTTTTAGATTTCAGGGCAAGGCATTAAGATATGGAAAACAAATTTAATTTTCATCCAGGTTTATTTAGTTGAGAATTTTCACAAACTCAAGTCAACCTACCAATTTGGGTGCAGTAACTCTTTAACAACCATTAGGATAGGAAAGCAAACAGATCATTGAGGAAAAATACTATACTTAAAACAAAAAAGAGTTGAAACAAGCAACAAGTTCACAAGTAATACTCTGCTTTCAGTCTCGGTAGGGTTTTCAAGCAGTATGTATTTTTTGCTGACAGAAGTAACTCATTACACAACACAAACCACACTATAATAAGGAAAACACTACACCACACACCAAACACAAATTCTAGTCATACCACAGTTAAATACTTACCAAAGACTTGATGCAAAGAAAACACTTATAGGCATTACACATGTTGCATATCTACAACACCAAAAAACAGAAAGACATATATTGTAACGCAGTGCAAAGAAGGCACTTATAGGTATTACACATGTTGCATATCTACACATTCATGTAGGGTGAAGCTATTCGTGCAAAATTTTTATAAAGCTCTTTACTTCATGCATATTTGCAGAAAAAGCTTTTCTGTCTAGAGGAACAAAATTGCTCTGTGCTAGGTTGATTTCTTTCTTAAATTTGGGTTAAGTCTCGATACAGTGTTCTTAAAGCACCACAGTCCCAGCTGGAAACTTAATAGTAATTTTCTGTCCTACCGGCTGTCATCTATTTTACTATTCATTTTTCTACAAACCTGGTATAACATAATGTGAATCAAAACCAAAAATTTACATACCGAAGAAGGTAATTAAGTTTGTACTGCTTCATTCTTGGACTGCACAAAGCATCTATGGCAACAATTCTGGTTTTACGTCTTCCAAGGGAACCAACATTCCTTTTCTCCACATAGTCACCAGTAAACCGAAATGAAGAGGCATACCTACACTAGCTAAAATAGTATCATTATCATAAGTCAACTAAAAAAATGGGAGAGTAAAGACAGTTAGTCATCAAACAGATACAGAACCCATGCAACATGAGTTTCATGACTTTTACAGCAAGATAAATTTATATGAAAATCAAATAGAAGTTTGTATACTTCAGGCACTATTATATGCGAGTAACTGCAGTACATGCATATCATATAAAATGAAATACCCAATGCTACCAGATCTCTTTACAGGCTTACAGTTTATACCCTGTATAGTCAGAGAACCTCTCTGCTCCGACAATTTCTATAGATTTATTGTCTGCCATCGAAGGCAAGAACAGCATGCCAACAATCAGTTCGGGATTGATCATGAAGCGAATTTCTTCCTATTAAAAGTTTGAAAAACAATCAACCAGTAAACAATGTTTTTGGAAATAATTGATAGAGTAAAAGGTGAAAGAGTCGAGAGAAAAAAATGGAACAGTAGTATACAATGTCACTAACAGTGTTAATGAAGCAAAAAAAAAAAAAACCAGACCTGCACACAACCTTTATTTAGAGCACCACCTCCTAGATATTTATTTGCAAAATCAACTTCAAGTGTCCCAATAGTGTGATCTTCTATTAAACCTGAGCTGTGAACATATATAGTTATATACAGATAACAGAAGGATTGGCTCACCACATTGATAGGACGAAGGTACAGAAAAAGATAGGCCAAGTTGTAATATTGAAATTTGAGTTTATAAATATGTTCTATAAGTTGAACTGTTACCTGAAAAGGGCACAGAGGGATAGTTGATTTGGTCCAAAAATCAGCATATGGATAAGAAAGGCATGATTGCAAAGGCTGGTGTCCTAAAGAGAGAAGCTTGCGCTCAAATGAGACATATCCTGTAGGCATTTGCAAACATATCCTTTGGAAATAGTGCACAATGCACCTCAACTTATTTTATTGGCTCTCACAGAGACTCCTGAGAATACGTACATGTACATATAGCGTTCATTTAGTGTTTTGAATATAAAAAGAGAAAAATGAAGCTTTGAAAGCAGGGATGGACCGAGGGGTTCTTGGAGGTGCGTTCTTACCCTGGAAATTTCAAATTCTCTAATAGTTTAGGTATTTTCTTTGTATTTTCTACTGATAATTTAATTTTGCACCCCCTGAAATTTTATAATTTCATATGCCCTAAATTCTTAATATAAGTTCCTAAGTCCGCACCCCCTAATAAAAATCCTGCGTCTGTCCATGTTTGAAAGTAAAATTCCCAAGTGGCAACGTGCAGGGTAAATGCGTCAAAATAAAGAAGAGGGAGTAGAGATGCACAACAGCAGAAGCGGAAACTAATGAGAAGTGATGATTGATAGCAAGACAAGTTGCAAAAGAGAGTTGACATACGCAAACAATTGATCAAAGTTGATAGTTGGCAGATGTCTTGGACCTCTATCAGAGATTGGAAACAAACAAAACAAAGAGCATGCAAGTAGAGCGGCGATCAACTCCTGAGATGTAGATTAGATATGAATCAAATTCAAGCATGAGACTTCTGAATTAAGCAGGCGAGTAAGTATTAGTATAGCATTAATAATAGACAAGTACAAAGAAAAACCTGGGAGAGAAGCACCACGCCTGGTTGCTGCGGACCCAATATGCGGAGACCGTATCCATAAGGCCGCGTATTCTAATAGTGAAGGTCTATAAGGAAAGGCAAACACAGTAGCAGATCAGCTAATTTAGGAATATCATCCTTAAACCAATTTGTGGAGCCGGCTCTGGAAATGAGATGCGCCAAAAATTCATTCCAGAAACAAGTAAACCAAAAACGAAAAGAAAAATCTTAAACCAAACAACCACTTCCATACCTCGACGAAGAAGAGGGCATAGCCTTGAGGGGCAGAGGGAGCTTAACCAGTGGGAGGTTGCAAAGAGAAAAAAGGAAAAAGAGAAAAATGGGGGAAGCAAGAAGCGAGAAAGGATGAAAATAATGGGGGAATTAAAATACGATTTTTACAGGTGACACACAATTAAAACTGTACTCCGTGTTTTTATAAATTTTTTAGATTATGACTATTAAATATGACACACATTCTTATAAGTCATAAATCATTCAGATTTTAAAAAACATGACATTTTTTTATGACACATTTTTTTGTAAGTCATAAATTAGCGTGTGTCATCGTTCGTGTGTCATTAAAAGTATATTTTCTTGTAGTGAGTCTAAACTTGTGCATTCTTTTTAGTGAGTTGGGCAGAATAAGTTGAAGTAACATGTTGAGAATCACGAGCTGTAAGATTTGATTTATGTGACCCAATAAACTGCCTAAACAACTTCTATAGATCATCAACATGATGTTTGGTAAAGCTACTAACCGTTTCACTTTTTCTCAGGTTAGAGTGAGACTCATTTGACGGTCTTCTAGCGGATTATTTCCAGTCCACTGATTTTCCGTGAAGCTTTCAATATTGATTCCTAACATGCACTGTTCTCTTGTAGTAATCACATCATGGATTGCCTTTACGATTTCTAGTTGTAGAGAAGGAATAAGTGAGCTTGGCAGACCCATGAACACTTCACGAATGGAAAAAATAGTAGAAAGAAATTTACCATAAACTGCATCTAATTCTTTGTTTAATCCATTTAGAAATTGAAACACTCTCTGTCGAGTCATGATTATTTTATATAAAGTTGCATCATTTTGAGTTTTTCAATCATGTGCATCATATAGATTAATTTGTTATTAGTATCAAGTGATGGTGTTGTAATACAGAGTAACATTTATGGCTTCTTGTTTAAGATTCGAAGCCTTGCTTTTAATCCCAAATAGTTCAATATATTTCTTTTACAACACACCAAATTTCATTTCAATAACATATTGAAGAAAATTTTCCCCAACTACAAGTGTCATTGAATTGATCATCCGGACATAGTCATTCAATTTTCCGCACCAATTTGTCATAATCAGGAGAAATGATGGTAGGTTTTTGAATCTCCCCCAAAATTTAACACAACTTTCCTTACTAATAATCAAGAGTTTAATCTCCTGTAATCATTAAAGGTAATTATAGCCTAACAATTTGTGGCATGTAACAATCAAATTTTTAGGATTCAAAAACATCATAACCAAAAGCAGGTTTTGTGATTGAATGGACATCATTTGAAGATGAGTTGGCCATCGTCAAGTTTTTAGAAATCAAAACCTAAGATGATACAATGTCTTTTAAAGACTAAAACCTAGAGATTTACTTTTGCTAGGATTCCTAAGAATTGTACAACATATTAAAATTGAAATTAGAGATATGATTAATCCAAACTAACAAAGAGTTATCTAAAAATAACAAACTCAAACTACCTAAGCATATCTACAACTTACATAAAATGCGCTAAGTTAACTGACAAAGAAATCAAACACAGATTGACCCCAAAACTACACAAATTAGTTAGCGATGTGGGACTTACCAAAGAATTGTATACTTGTTCTACAACTATTTTAGAGGCCCAATATGGTGATATCTAAAGAATATACATTATGATTTATGAGTTACAATAAGGGGTATATACTATCCAAGATAGAATGAGCTTGTGCGATTCATAAATCAAGGTGAAAACATCCACCGATGACGTAATATTGACCCTCAATTAATCGGGGAAGAGGCAACCAGAGAAGATTGAACCCTTTTGACTCATCCTTATCAGCATCGATTAGACCATCATATTTGTTTTTATGTGTCCTATCGATGTAGTATTTTTCAACCCTATTGAGTCAAATACAAGGTTTTTACACACCAGTACTATTAGACTAAACACATGTTGCACGTGCTTCGATATTTGGTACATGCACCATAAGGCTCACATCAAAGGAAGATGAACTAACACTTCCAACTGATCCACACGACCAAGCCTTGGAAAAGAAGAACAAAATAGAAGTATACTTGCGACTACATTTTGAATGGGATCCTGATGTTATTTTCGACATGTCTTCTAGAGTTACGATGGATTGTCTCTTATATTTCTAACGGTTCTTGAATCACATCAATATGATATCATGAGCTCAAGATACACTCATTTTAGTTAAGACAATGCATGCAAAATTTCTTATACGGGATTAATAAGAGATTTGTAATTATTACAAATTTCAATATTTTTATTGATTATTTGTAATATAATTTAATATACGACGATACATTATCAAGTAGTATTAGATTTATTATTTTATTAGGAATTAAGATTGAGTTAAAACATTATTCTTAGTTTATTATTATTTAGGAATAGATTTATTATTATTATTATTATTATTATTCATTAGCTATTTAGGAATTTTAGAACTCATCTCCTATATAAAGGAGACTTCATTCAACTTTATAATCACATCTTTTCCTTGATTACATTACATTAAGAGTTTATCTTTCCAAGTGTTAATTACTTGTTCCTTCGAAGCTTCTTTTCATTAAGTTCTTTTTATGTTCTCTATGAGATAGATCTTCACACTCCGGTTTGCCTCTTCATTATGATTAGGAGGGCTGGTTAGAGCCATTTATCAAGTTTTCCATTTCATTGCAACTAGGAGGGTTTGATAGGACATTTCTTCATCTATTTCTATTTTCCACAACTCTATAATCTTCTTTTTCCATTCAAATCATTCTCCTTTCTTCATTGAGTCTAGAGCTTTCTAGGTTTGATTTTTGACAAGAGCAACATTCAGTCATCCACTGTCATTTCTCTATCAATTGGTACCAAAATTGGGATGATTCTTGGAGAGAATCAATTGTTTTTGCTTCATCTTGCACGCATACACCGCCAATGTACCCCAACGGAGCTAATTCATACAAGTTCATAATTTTTCAAGTACTTGCTTCGTCCTAAGAGAAATCTCCAGTTCAAAATTTAGACCAATCGAACTTCAATTGACCCCTCAAATCCATCATACAAGTTTCATCGATAAATCTAGGGTGGTGACATTGACAAATTTTCACAGAATTTTCCTAAAAGAATTTTGTGCTGAATTTTTCTATATTGAAACTAAATTCACTGAAGAACATTTGCAAAACAATTCAGAATTTTTAGAGACCGAAAACCCCTAAAAACGTTACTTAAGTTGATTTAACTAATCAAGATTTTCTAGGTTTATGTTTTTTCCAATCTTTCTTGAATCTTATTGCTTTAGGTTCCTTTGTTTTACCTTTCATTTGTTCCTCTACATCATCTAACATATTCTCTTCCTTGTCTTAGTAGGACTAGAAGAGTTTGCATACTTATTCTTCCTTGCATTCTCGTTCTCTTGGAGTCTTAACTTTGTGTGACCTCTTATAGCTTTTAAATAATTTTGTCCTCTTTATTAGCAATTAAACTATGATACGAACATTGAAAAGATTTTTGGAGAGAGAGTTTTAAAAAGTACAAGATCGATTTACTTGCCACTTGGTGTATTACTTTCTTGGAGTGACTTGTAAGGTTCCTTGTTTCTTTGATTTTCTTTTTCCACTTTATCTTTTTTTTAGTGTTGTGATTCTCAGGACGTTCAATCCAAAGGTACCTCAATCAAACATTCCATAATTATGTGGTGTGGAAGATCCATAGTCCTACTATAAATGAGAAACCAAGATGGAATTCATATTCCAAGACTAAAACGTTTCGAAGAAGAAAAAATATTTGTAGATACACATGGACTCAGTGATAAGGCACTATTTTGGAGTGTACAAGTTATATGTGGAAAACATCCAATCGAATCCTAGGATAAGCTCAAATTTAAGATGAGAGTTACTACCCAAGAACACAGATAAAAACTTCAAAGACTAGAACAAGATAATAGATCTGTGTAGGATTATTATCAAGAGATGGAATCCTTAATGCAATAAGCAAGTTATTATGAAAAATATTACCACATTGTCAATTCGTGAAGGTATTCATCTAGACATTTGTGATGAAATTGGTAAACAACACTATGAAGATCTCCAGGATGCACTACAGAAAGCCATAACAATTGAAAGAGAACAAAAGAGGAGATATCGATTCAGAGACAAATTACCAAGGTATTTCAAATCCTTCCATTTCTTCTTTAACTCCACCTTCTACCACAAATAATGAATTGAACACTAACATCGATGAATACGATGTAGTAGAATTTAATGGAAGATAACAATCTTCAATCATTGGAAACAAAGATGCACTTGAAAATAAGTGATGACACTTTGTGAGAGGGTGGGAAAACAAAAAAAAAAAAAGACGATTGTCGAAACATCTTTGAAACTTTGATATACCAAAAGTAAATAAGTTAAAATAAATTTTAAGGTTATTTTTAATTCTTTTTTAAACTTATATTCGATTCAACCATTCAAATATAGAAACTATTTTCAAAGTTAAAAACTTCATAATTAATTCTTACTCTTTTTGAAAATTCAAGTCATATACTAGAAATATTTTTCAAACACTTTTACAAAGGGTTTCATATCATAATCGAGTCAAAAATCAATTTTTTATCACTAGAGTATCGATAATGCAAGAATAGTACCGATCTATTGATGTGGTATCGATACATGTACCGATACTAATGTGTAAAAATACACTAAAATATCGATACTGGTACCAATACTCCTTTTATGTCTTTAACAAACTCAATTCTAGTAGGCTATTTTCGTACGAATACTCTTTGAGCATCGATACAAGCATCGTGTAATACCCCAAATATCGGGTTAGTAACCATAATGAAAGAATTTGATATTTGGGAGATTAAATTG